TTACGAATTTTTCTGACACCCTTTATAAGAACTAAAATTTTTTAATAATTTTATGTTCAAAATTTGGAAGTATATATATTTATTAAGAATATCATCTATTCTTAAAATCATATATCAGGTTATAATTTAAATTTATCATTTTTTTCTGATTAATTATTACGAATTCATTTTAGAAAAAAAATTAATAGTGCTAGAATTTTAATTATTTTTTCAGTTTTGTTTCGTTATGTATTTAGTACATAATAATTACATGATGCACTTCAAGTTGAACAAAATTTTATATTATATTTTTAAGTGAACTCATACTAAATTTTTTAAAAAATATATAATCACGAAAATTAAATTAAACTTATTTTTAGGATGACAATCAGTTCGATTCGAAACGAATTTTGAGAACCTCAACTTTGACTTGGTCATAAATAAAGAGACTCAAACTTGTCCCACATTTAAGATAAGTTCATAAAATTTATATTTATTTATACCATGCAAGTTTTTCAATTAAATCACTTGCTCCATTCTATTATAAAATCATATATTACAAAGTTTAATTTCCTCCTTGGGACATTTCTTCTTTGACTTACAAAAGAAAAATATAACGATAACAACAACAATACATAATTCCTTTGGTAATCGAATTATGTTGATAAAGATGGAGTTTAGTGTCGAGCTTAAGTATGGTGAAGTGGCCTTCTTGTAGAGCGATTTGAAGAAGATGAGAACCTAGATTTTAAATGACAGTAATTCAAAGAAGAAGTAGGATGTCAATAAGGACGTAAGTCTCGTTTCGAGCGTTGTTGATGCCCTTCAGAAGGAGCAAGCATAGTCTTTCTTTTTTAGCATTAGCTCTATTTTTCCCTTATTATTACCCTATGGATTGCTCATTTTTGGTGTGAAATTATCAAGGTGCAACAAAAGCTGGTCTTCGGCGCATCCTTAAGTCCTTTATAAATATCCACAACTCTGTCTTGGTCACGTTGTTGGAGCTTAATATGCCAGACGAGAAAGCGGATAGAGTAATTAAGAATATGGGATTCGACTACTCTCACAGAGTTGAGGCTGTCGAATTTTCAGGTGGCATTTGGATTATGTGGAAAGAGTTTACTCAGGTTAATATGGAATACAATTACCGTCATTTTATTTATTCTGAGATTAGCAGGAATGATGGTTGGGAGGACTTTTCTATCTCCATCGTCTATAGAAGTCCAAATCCTCAGAAGTGCAAAGACCTTTAGGAGGAACTCACATTATCGAGCAACACATGGATCGCTCTTAGCTCTTTGTTGGGGATTTCAATGTCAACTTGGATATAGATGATCGAAGAGGGAGGGTGGCTCAATGGTCTAAAGGCTACATTCTCTTTAACTATTTCATTAATGTTAATTCCTTGCAGCAGCTTGATTATGTAGGACTGAACTTTACATAGCGACGTGAGACCTTATTTCAATGACTTGATAGAGTAATTTGTAATCAGCGATGGTTCAACCAATTCCCAGAGGCCATCGTTGACCATCTTTTGAAAGTGTACTCGAATCATAGGCCTCTCCTGATCATCCCTTACACCTACCACACTCACAATAAGGACCTCAAACCTTTTTAGTTTTTAGTTGTGTGGTTATCCCATCCTGATTTTCTTAACTTGGTTAGGAGAAATTAGCAAAACTATCTCCCCATCTAAGAGAACATTAGTAATTTCAACGAGACTATACAAGATTGAAATAGGAATGTATTTGGTCACATAACTAAGAGAAAACACATCCTCTTGGCAAGACTGAATGGGATCCAACGAGCACTGGAAAGACACCATTATGTTAGGCTTCAAGGGTTGGAGAAATCATTGGAAAAGAAATTAGAGGAGGTGTTACTGTAAGGAAAAATACTCTGGAAGCAAAAATCCCGCTGTAATTGAATTTTTCTAGGGGACAGGAACACTATATACTTTCATGCTCAAACCATCTCTAGAAGAAAAAATAACAAAATTAGTATGGTGAAGGGTGAGGATAGAAATTAGAGTACCGATGAAGGACAGCTTCGGATAATGGCCTCCAATTTTTTGAGCACCTTTATACAGCCGAAGATGGATTTATACCACATTACCCTGTAAGATGTTTGTTCCTGAAGTTAATAGCTACTATAGTTGCTCAGTTGGATTCTGAGGTGACGGACCATGAAATTCATGACGCTTTATTTAACATGCACCCTTGAAAACCTGCAGTGTGGATAATCTTCAAACAATGTTTTTCCAGAACCAATGGGAGACTATAGGCGAATCAGTTTGTGCAATTGTCAGGGGTACCTTTCAGGGTGAATAGTTACCTGCTGTGATTAGCAAGACCCTTATTACTCTCATTCCTAAAGTTGCAAGATCGAAGAATATTAAAAAATTCCATCTGATCAGTTTACTAACAATTTTATATAAAATTGTTACTAAACTCATCGCCAATAGACTCAAGAACCTTATGCCTTTTTTGGTTGGTCTTACCCAGGTTATCTTTGTAGTCGGGCGGAATATCACAGATAACATTACTATTACCCAAAAAGTGGTCCACTCTATGCGGAGTTTGTGGAGAAAAGACAGTGGATAGTCATTAAAGTGGATTTAGAAAAAATTTATGATCGCATCATATGGGAATATGTGAAGGACACACTTCTTGATGTTGGTCTCCCTCCTAACCTTATCAGAGTCATCATGTATTGTATCTCTTCTTGCTCTATGTAATGTTGTAGAA